TTCCTAACAGTCAGGACAATTAACCAGTGGAACAGCTTGCCTCCAGAAGTTGTGTGTTCATCACTGGAGGTTTTTAAGAAGAGACTGGACAGCTACTTATCTCAAATTGTATAGGATCTCCTGTTTGAGCAGGGGGTTGGATTAAAAGACCTCCAAGGTCCCATCAAGGTCTATTTTGATTGAGTTCAACAGTGGAATTAATTCCCCAGAAATTTCCTTTCCTGGATGTACCAAAGGTGCTTTTTCAAGAGGCAACTGGACTTTTTGGTTTTTCTTTGAAGACGTTTCACTTCTCATCCAAGAAGAATGACTAGATGGTGGAGAATGGAAAGATTTATACTCCTTGCAGACAGCTGCTCATTTGCATTCTTTTAGTGAGTTGTTAAGGTCACCTGGAGGTTTATCTGTGTTATCTGCACCACCTGAGTGGTGCAAATGGGTGTGGAGCCTTCTTGGAACTGTTGAAAGGACTGTGTTGTAGATTGGAGATAGATATCTCTCCCCCTCTGTAAACTTAATGACACTGTAAAAAAATGCAAATGACCAGCTATCTGCAAGGAGTATAACTCCTTCCATTTCCCACCATCCAGTCAGAGCCGAAGTAGCTTCTTGGATAAGAGGTCAAACATCTTCAAAGAAAAACCAGAAAGTCCAGTTGCCTCTTGAAAAAGCACCTTTGGGCTACCATGACCTGGATGACTGAGAACCTCCACAGACATTTCCTGGATGTAATGAAATGGAAAGTAGAGAGAGCCAGTTATCTGGGTTTAAAAAAAAAAAGCCTTGGATTTCTATTCACCCCATGAGATTGCAATTGATGGTTTAAATACTTTCTTCCAACTGTATTATTCTATGAAATCATATTCCACCATTAAGATGGCAGGGATGTCTTTAACTATTTTACCTAACCTAAAAATGTGATATAGGAAGAAATTGTGGTAACATTGCTCTCTCTTGTTTTGAGTTCCTTGGCAGTAAGGTTGAATATGCTGTTATATATGACTGTTGTCCACATTCAGAAAGTCATAAAAATTCCAGATATGTGGCTTTTTTGCTCCTAGAGTTGCCTTTTTTCCTCCCAAATCAGAAAATCTTTGATGGTAAAAATTTAGCCAATTTCAAGGTCCAGCTTTTTTTATTCAGATTGGACAAAATGAAGAACGTTGATTAATTGAAATTTTTCTATTGGTGCAAATCTTAGTTTAGTTTTAATATATTAAAAGCTGTTTAAAGTAAACATTAAATTGCTTATTGTTTAAATTCACTCTATCATCTATCTGTCTGTCTGTCTGTTTCTATCTATCTATCTATCTATCTATCTATCTATCTATCAATCAATCATCTAAGACAATGGAATTTGTAATAGGGATAAAATGTCTCTTCCTGTCTATCATAATCCACTGAACAAGACACTGGAATAGCTTTCCATTTATTTAGAGTAAAATAGATCACACAAAGTCACTGGGAGTCAGGCAACATAAAAATTATTATTAGAAAGCAGAAAAGTGAAGAAACCAAGTTATAGAGGCACATACCATAATTGTATGTGTTTGAAGTTTTTAGCATTTCCCTCCACCCTGAGATTCTTCAGATATTTACATGGGAGTCTTTTCTAATCTTACCTGGATACTGTATGTCAAGGATAAGAGCTGCAGTGGCACAGTGGTTAGAATGCAGTACTGCAGACTACCTGCTGACTGCCAACTGACTGCAATGTGGCAGTTCGAATCACACCAGGCTCAAGATTAACTCAGCCTTCCACCCTTCCGAGGTGGGTAAAATGAGGACCCAGTTTGTTGGGGGCAATATGCTGACTCTGTAAACCACTTAGAGAGGACTGTAAAGCACTGTGAAGCGGTATATAAGTCTAAGTGCTATTGCTATTAATCTTTTGACTGGCTCTGAACTACATTCCTTTTTTTAAAAAAAAACATTCTACAAAACAGGAACTGTCCAAGGCATAAGACAAGTGGAAACATAAGCACCAGGCAAGTGATTGTATGAAATAGAGTTGCTGTTGTTGGTTTTCCTTATTGGTTCTGGGATAATCTGACCAATATTTAATATTTACTAGTATCAGTGTGTGCAAGTTTCAATTATTGCTCCAAAGTTACAAACTCTCAGCGGGATATGCTACAAGTCACACCCCCTTCAGTAAAGCAATTGGTAGGATATTATACAAAGCTATATACACATTCTATAGAGAGGAATTATTAGCTTGAGGCATCTAAGCTGTGAGTCAGGCTAGTGATGATTTGTCACAGATACCAAAGGATCAAATATTCTTGGAATTGAGAACAGCACTTCAAGTGATATTATGAATGACTAACTTGTGGCAAGCAAGGTAATGCTGAAGGTAATCATATATTTTATTCTCCATTAAAAAGCCACTGTATACAGTTAGCTGAATCTATTGTTAAAGCTTTTTCTGGAATAGATCTTTCTATCCTGATAGCAGGAATGACTTCATAGTTGCAAAGCATGGAATAAACAAATAAAATGCAATGTCACATGATGTGATGATAGCTATTGTTTTAGGAATTAATTCATGGGGCTATAAAACTGCTGTAGCACTATGGCACTAAAAATGGGGGGAAACAACAGAATGACACTGCCTTTTTTGTTATGCTTGTGGTAGAACCTCAATGGACCACACTTGTACCCAGCACCATTTTCTTCTGTTCATATAGCAAAAGAAGAATTCATATACAAGTGATATGTTTCTACAGGAACTTTAAAATGCAGGAGTTACTGTAGATGAACTATAAGAATATAAACTCCAGGACAGCTCCATATTTTTGCTTAGAGTTTTGCATTGGTTCCACTGTACAAATATTATATTGGAGAAATATTGTATCTGGAAAAAAAGGTTTGGGTGATTACAGGAAGTCTTCAAAATGTTCTGATTAATTTGGAATCCAAGCTGTTGTCTTGAAATTTGGGAATTCAAATGCTGTTTTTCAGCCAGCCTGTTCACTCATCTGGACCCATGGTTCAGTCAGGGGGAAAATGTTGCAAACGAGTTCTCTAATTCCAATTAGCATTCTCATTGGTAAATTACAAGATCTCAGAAATACACATAACACAATAGAAAAGAACAATCTAAATATAGCTTGAAAAACTGAACATACAAATTTAAAAAAACAACAGAATAATATGTTGGCAAGTGAACCATATCACTTATATGAATTACATAGTACAGTATCTGGGTAAAATGCTAGATTATACATTTGCTCCAGTTAAGTAGGCATCTATGGGAGACAAATCCCAAGCAAAGAGTCTTAATTAATAGGTCTAACTTTGATTAAGCCAGCTTCCTATATTTAAAACTGTTTTATCTCAATAAAACCAGTATCATATTTTTTGTTGTTATGGATCTGTATAAAACTTGGCTTTTAAGCTTATATAAGAAGGGAAGTTGGAGAGGAGAAGGGAGAGAAGGAGGAAGGATGGAAGGAAATCCATACATTAAATCCTCTAGGCTATACAGTTTTATCTGGATAGTTTGGTCTATATTATAATAATTGTTTTTGCAATGGCTAAATTTTTGCTTCAAGAACAATGTAAGAGTTGTCTGGTTCAAGCATTTAAATGGATGTTAGTATCATGAACAGTGATTTAGAGTACAAAGAGATTTGCTATTCTTTTTAAACAATATATTTTATGATTCATCATTTGGACATTATATCTCAGCCTATTTTTATCATAAATAAAAGCAAATTGGACAGAGGAGGAAGAAGAAAAGGGTAAAATTGCCTAGAGATTTCTGATGACTCCTGGAACAGAATAAAAGCCAATTTTTATACAGATGCATAACAATTAATAGGATACTGCTTATGATTCTATGCTCTATATTCTATGAAAACAGAGTTGCCTTCTTATTACAGAGGTAATTGTGGAGCATTAGAATCTCTTTAATTGTAATGACCCAGGATCTTTTCAGAAAATTAGTATTGAAAGATAAGGGACATTTTTTCTCTAATTGTTATTTTTAAATGAAATCATTGCCTGATTAATCTACTATTCTGCATTATGACTGAAATGATTCCTAACTAGGAAGGTTTGTTAAACCTCTGTGGCTATGATCCAAGTTATGAAAGGCATACCGCTTGCACACTACTGCTATTCATTTCAGTAAAGACACCTTTTTCAACTCTAGAGAAATGGCTGTGGCTGGCATAAAATATTTTTGTTAGAGATTCCTTGAGTTGGGAAGGAGAGACTGTACCCTGTGTTGGACCCTGATGTTTGCTGTCTTTCATAACTTTTTAAGTCCTTTTACCAGTACAAACATTCCAGTGTGTGTATGTGTGTGTGTCTACAGCGACTTGTTTATTGGCCATTAATAAGCAACATGATAGCCAGAGGGTAACTGTGGTCAAATGGGCAGAGTGTTTCATCAAAATCTATTTGCCTGTCACTTTTCTCTTCAACAAGCTTCAAGTCCCCTATTATAAAAACATCAGTTGGAATCTGTAACCATGTTCCACTGCAAAAAAAGAAAGACACATTTGCCATTTTTGCAGCAAATCTAAGATGACCCCTGCATACTAAATAAAAAATATTTGACAAAGCAATAAGTCTTTCTTTCAGATAAATCTAGTAAACCTTCTGGGTCTCATATTATCCATAGTTATTGATCCTGAGTTGAAATAACAGTGAAAGTTACATAGGTTCAAGCTTTAGTCTCCCCCCCCCCCCCCCCCACAAAGTGGGTTGAATATTACATTTTGGGTATTCCTCAGAAAAAGAAACAGTGGCAGATTTCATGGTTACAGAAGGAAAGCCAGTCATCTTTGTAATCCCAGCAAGTGCATAGGTCTATCTACTATATATGCAAATTTCCCCTAAATTTTCTGTCGGAATTTTGTAGAATTTTCAGTGTGGAACTGCCTGCTTCCTCTCGTTCTCTTTTTTTATCTCAGGTTCATTATGCCCATTCTTTTAGCTTTGTCACTTCCACTGCATCCTCTGATTCATTCCAATATTGTCTTTTTCAGATGCTCTACGTGATTGACGCAATTGGCACAACACTTCCTTCCCACAGCGAACATTGGCAACAAGCATAGATTTTTCAGGAGACAAATCCATTCATGTCCTTAGAAGGTAAATGTAATCTGCATTTATGCCATTTTCTTCCCCTTATTTACCCCAGCTCAGATGCTTAGTTGTTAATGATGTACTCATCTGCCAGTTCCCACTTTTTGTCAAGAGGATGAAAGAAGCTTGCTCCTTAGATTTAGATCTAGGTTTTTACCCTCTTTAGGCTGCACTACATGCTGAGTGCATTACAAATGTAGTTTGTAGGAAAGAAAGGAACCTATTGACATACCACTTGTGCTAGTCTTTGTCAGTATGCAAGCAGGTTCATGAAAAAATGAAAGCATCTCAATCAATTCCTAAAATGAGTTCTAGATATTGCTGGCGTCTGGGTTGAACAAGCCAGTACATATTCCTGAATGAAAGATACTTCAGCAGGTTAGATTCCTTGGGCAAGTCCTGGTAGTTCATTCTGAATGGTCATATTGTGACATGCTTTTGAATGGAAAACTTAATGTACATCCAAGGCAGTTTATATCATACATTGCTTCCATATTTTTGGAGGGGGAACTTGATGCCTGTCTTTGATAGTCATTTGTGCAACAATAATTTGGCATGTCTGGTTTTTTTTTAATGGAAAATTGTGCTGAACCTTCAGTGAATAACTATAGTCAGTGGTTTCTGTGAAAGTAAAAGGCAAGGCTCCAAGCTGACAGCAATCTAGTTTCTATTATCCTTAAGACTGCATATATTGTCTTAAATCTCCCAATATATCTCCTAATTAAGAGGCTATGGAATAGCTATTTATGCCTTGCATCAACAAGCTGGCAACAGCTCTAACTTTTCAAATCACTGGTTCTAAAAAAAGGAAGAGAAGCAGTCATAGTCCTGCAGTGAATAAAGAAAAAAGTTCACTCTGAAAATAGGGGCTACATTGTCTTCCTTCATCATCACAGCTTCATTGTTATGGTTGCAAAATCTTTTCCAAGCTGGAACACAACTCCGGAGCAACAATAGCAGTAAATGGGCCAGAACAGCAAAAGTCATGATAGACATTTCTACGGACTGTCAAAACTGTGGCTTGATGACATGCCAGGCCTATGGCTCAGACTTTGGGAGATGGGCCAATGATCCGAAATGTCTTCAAACCAAAGCCCTTCTTGAGGAAGAAACAATTGGATGATGCCATCTTATAATGATCTGTATAACATTACATACTAAGTTTCCTATGTCCTCTTGTTGCTTCGCAACACAGATCCCTCAAATTCTAATGGAATTGATATTGAACAAGGACATCAGAATAGTTTCAATTCTCATTCTGTCCTGGTGACTGGCTGTTTAAAAAGAACAACCTAGTAACATGCTCTTAAAGCATTTAATATTGTTCAGCTGCATGGAAGAGCATCTGTGCATTTTTATAGTTATTTTATTTCTGCGCTATTAAGCTTCATGGTTAAGCTTCACTTGTTTCTGCAAATGTCATCTGCTCTTGCTCTCTACTCTTTCCTTGAGAAAGCACTGCAGTGTGGAATCAGGGTGGACGTTTCACCCATCCATTTCAATTGATTCTTGCCACCATACTTTCTGGTTTTTAGTTCATGCAAATGTCCAATTTCCCCTGTCACCTGGTGCCACAAAATCCATTCCCCTTAGAAGCAATTTACCGGGGAGCGGGTTAATGAACTAATTTCATCAGCCACAAAGGTGAGGCATTTCAACATATGTTATGTCATTTTATACATTTTCTCAGGCAGAGGATGTTAACTTTCTAATTATAGTGGTTATTTTCTTTAGGGACTAGTCTCAGTGCAAATGATTGAAGCAGGCAGCGTCTCATTGTAGGCTGCAATTTTGATTTGTTCTGGTTTGAAGTTTGTCCTTGGAAGTTTCAAAAGATCATTTAAAGCAGCAGAACACAGAATACAGAATATAGAAGTATAGGAATGGAAGAGACCTCAAAAGTCTTCCAGTCCAATCCCCAGCTCAAGGCAGGAGAGTGTGTGCCATTCCAGTCAAATGGTTGTCCAGTCTATTTTTTAAAACCTCCAGTGATGGAGCACTCACAACTCCAGGGGGACAAACTATTTCACTGAATAATTTTTCTCACTGTCAGAAACATCCTCCTTCCTTCTAAGTTGGATCTCTCTTTAACAATCTTCCATTCTTTACTTCTTGTCCTGCCCTCTGGTGCTTTGGAGAATAAATCAGTCCTCTGTGACAGCCCCTCAAATACTGAAAGACAGCTATAATGTCCCCCCTAATCCTTCTGTTTAATAAGCTAGAACAGCCATTCATCCATTCATCATCATAATTTCACTTCCGTATCAGTTGTGTCAGCCTCATTTCTGCAACCTCAGAAAAAAACCAAAATATGTATTGAGACATAGGGAATTGCCATCCATTTTTTTCTGAGTTGTCTTTGGTTCAATGTCTCACTAATTTTTCTGACTTGATTTGAAGTAAGGAAGAGAGAAGAATCACTATTGATATGGAAAGATTTAACTTGAAAGTTGTGGTGCAAATAGCGCTGTTTTTTCTGCAAATTCATGAACACAGTTAAAAGAATCCAACTAATATGAATTATGCTGTTAATAGATGTACAGGTATAGTAGCTTGGTTAATTAATACCTAAGCCATGTTGTGCTTTGACTGGCTTGTGGATAAGAAAATTAAAATACATTATGAAACATTTGTCCTTTCTTAGATCTTTCATTTTAAATAGCCTGTTCTGATTTTTGCAGCATGACAGAGGTAATGAATACACGTGAACCTGTGATGGAAGAATTTACCTTGAGCCAACCTGAGGAAGAAGGAGGCACTTCCACTCAGGTAAGTGTATGTATGCAAATTGAATACAAAGCTACAAGTCAGACAAAATCAAACTGTCAGAACAATTTAGCTTCTTAGAATGAGACAGCACAAGATCATAGTATATAAAAATTGAAAACTGTATATTTTAATCTGAAGTGCAAGAAGGATTATAAGCTAGGTTTTGTTAATGACTATCATTTTGGTGAAGCTTGGAACTAAATTCCTTTTGAATATAATGGAAGGTGACAGTGTTTCACAAAACACAGTACTATCAAAGTTGCTTACCGAAACCCATTAGGTTTTACTTCAGTGAATCAAGTGACATATTTTAAAAAGTAGATTCAAGATCAACGTACTAGACAGACAACATCTAGAATGTAGAAACCTATGAACAGCTACATGATTTGGAGTACCACTGGAAAATGGCGATACATACTAATCAAACAAGATTGCCTTTTTGATAACTTATCTCTATCTCTCTATGTAAGGGATGGGTAACCTCACAGTAAATTGTACTTCATTTTGGGGGAAACCATAGATGAGAAGTTGGGTGGGATTATGTAATACATGTGGGCAGATCAGGATGTTCTAATTTTCCCTATCTAGGAGGCAATGTTCATGTGCTTCCAACTTTAATAGGGCCAAAGATTTAAATGCAACTTTTGACAATTAAAGAATTTCCTTATTTACTTTCAATGCAATGCTCAGTATGGAAATACTGATCTCCTTTTGACTAAATGCCATTCTCTTTTATGTAACTTGGAACACAAAGTCCCCATAGATTCAAGATCCATTCTAAGGTTCTATAACATATTTTCCAGCAGAATATAGTTTTGAATGAAGAAATTAGACCCACTACATCATATACCATATTTAAAACAAGAAAAGCAATAATGTGGGAAATGGTAGTCTATAATGAACATAACCGTGTTATTTTTCCAACTTGGCCCAGAGGTTGCTGGGGTGACATCCTGTTTTTGTTCAGTCTAATGAAAATAAGGCAATCCACTTTGCACTGTATTTTCCTAATATGTTTGTATGTGACCCTTCAAAACCAAATTTTCACAGAGTAGCTTACAATGCACTGAAATAAAAAAATAAAATTGTGAACAATAATTAGAATATTGTACATAAGAGTAAATATATTTTAAATAAACACTAATATGCACTGTGTCAATTGTGTATCAATTTGAGATTTTATATTTGCAATGATTTATAACAACATGCCTTTGCCACAATTACTGTATTCCAGAGTAATATTTTTGCACAGTGTATTTTTGGAGAAGTGGCTTTTCGTTATAAATATGTATCTTTAGGGATGGCCTTGGGCAGAATCAGTTGTTATGTAAGTCTAGCCTACTTCAGGCTACAATTCTAAAATACCCACTCAAGACATTTGTAATTGGATAGCTTATATAACAAATTTACCTCTTCCTCTTTGCGGAATGTTTATGATTTAATGGAAAAAGTATGTGGAGATATTGAAAATTGACAAATAAAATAGACATCTGGATTTCTCCCTGCATAATTACACGAATGTGATAAGTTGACTGTATAAGAAAAGTACAGTCTAGAAGTACCCATAATTTGGGAATCTCCCTAAGTTTTGTGAATTTTCTTTGCAAGTTCTAGTGTATGTCTGATGTATTATCTATTCTTCGGTCACATACAATGTATAAGATTAAATAAAGATGAAATAATCTAAGGATTTGATAAAAGGTAAAAAATAAGTTGAAATAAGGATATGGCAGGGAATCAGTTTGGCCATTTTTATTGGAAAATAGGGAGATCTGCCTTGGGCAACTATTACTGATAAGAAATATATTAATTAATGTATACCATAGCATTGATAACAATTCCACGTCTCCGTACATGTTACATGAATTCTTTTTTACTTTTTTTCTATATTCATATTTGTTAAAATAAATGTTAGAAATAAGAGTATTGTTGACATTTACTGGTAATTCCATGAAGACCTACTAACTAGGAGATCTCAGGAGGCTTACAGCAAACATTTATTCTTCCATTACATGCTAAACATCCTATAGTACAGGGGTCCACAACCACCGGGCCGCGGACCGGTACCGGTCCGTGGAGCACTCTATACCGGGCCGCAAAGAAAATAAAATAAAATAAAAATGGCGGCTTTTCGCCTTCGGTGAATGCTGCTGGGATCAGGGATCAAGGACACAAATGAAAGAAGGGGAGGGAGGAAGCAACCAAAGCCTGTCCTGCTCTCCGGCTCAGCGGCTTCGGTTTCCTCCCGCCTCGTTCCTCTCTCAGTCGCTCTCTCGCTCCTCCACCAGCCCAGGAAGAAACTGCTTCAAAGAAGCCGGGGGGGGGCTTTTCCTGTCGCCGCAGCTCCTCCGAAGCGCCCGTTCACCCCCACCCCGCCCGCCTGCGCGCGGTTCAATCCAGTGCTCCGTTCTGCCTGCCTGCCTGCCTTCGTTTCTGGTTGATTCAGAGCAGCTTCGGCTGAGAATAATAACTATTCGCCTCTTTTTATCAGC